AATTCTTCTCTCAGTGTAGTTTTGTATTTGTATCCCGGGAACTGTTGGAACTAAGACGTTTGTTTCCCTCACTAAGATTTTGTAGTTGGGAGAGTGTTAGATTCAAATATAGTCAACTCTCTACTGCCCAAATTATTTTTTCATGAAAATTTTTCATATACATAGAATGTTTAAAACTAAAGTATGCAATATATATAAGATAGAATTTTATTTTTCTGACTTTTTATTTCCCTAAAATAGGTTTGTGACTCTGATATCACGTTTGACAGTTACTTTTGCTGCCAACGTATTAAAAAAAGGCAGCCATATTGTGACTTTCACGTTACATCGGTTAAAACAAAAATGTTCATTGGAGATAAATTATGATGAACCTGATATTTTGTTATATTTTGAGGTTCGCTTTATATTAAATATAATATATAAAGCAAGTTTTATGTGTAAGTAGTTTACTTATTTTTGGTTATACGTGTTATATTTATTATTTCTATTCAAATGCGACAAACTTTTTTTTGCTTTCGTCAAGCTGATTGTTTGACTTTGTGTTCAACAAAAGTATCTAGGCAGTAGTAGGAATGTTAGAAGGTGTTTTAAATAAAATAATTTTTTTTCAATATGATATAAGATGTCCTATAGTTTTTATAATTTCAATTTATCCCAACAGATTTTCTGAGCAATTTAAAATTAATTCTTCCTCTTCGAAAATGTAGAGGAAGATTACTCGTGGCTTTTCAATTTTTAGCATAACATATATTTCTAACCAAGGCCCAAAATAAAATTTTGTTAAAGTAAAATATACTTGAAGTTGATGCAGGAAAATAATTTTGTTATCCATTTGATTGTTCGAAATTTAGTTTGCAAAATATATACACATATAAGATATTTCGAAAATTAAACGTTTTAAAAGAAATTAAATTTAATTAAAAATTTATTGGGTATTAAATACAGCACGCGGATATTAGGCGAGCATCTTAGATCCTGGATTGAGTCTTCAAAATTAAGTTAAGATCGCGACGTTGTATTTTTCACATTGAATTATATATAGTTTATTTCAAATAAATTAATTTCTCTGGTTACTCCGTGTATAAAAATACTGGGGTAAAGTTTCCTAAGAATATATATTTTCCGAAATATTTTATATTTTATTCTTATACTTTTTACAGTACAAAAGATACGAAATAAAATATCGTAAACTGCTTGTTTAATTTTTCATTAGTACTTTTACAGAATTGCAATAAACAAGAGTAAAAAGACGACTCCAGTATGTCAGATTAAGATGCTAAAAAAATATGTTCCATGAGAGTTAAGAAACCCGGAGTGCTTTTGGCGCTCCTGAGGTACCCGGATAAATAAATTATAACACTACCCTTTCCCTCTTCTCGTTTCCTTCTCTCGTGTCGTTCACTTTTTCCTTTGACGCGCTTACCCTCTCTCGCTCCTTCTCCTATTTTCTCCTCTTCTCTCTCTCCGCCGCTAATTTCGTCGTGTCGTATTTTCGCCGTCGAATTCATTCGCGTACAAGGAATTAACGGCGAATAGGAGCGCGCGCGGCAAGCCTCATTCGCGTCGTCCCGCATTAATTTTCCCGCTCGGGGGCGAGCTGGGGGGAGGAGGACGGCGAGTTTATAAGAGCTAATCTAATTTAAAGTCGCGCTTGCGTGCACGCGCGCGCTAGTAGACGCATAAATATCCGGCAATAATCGCGGTCGCGTCTTCGAGCACGGCGAGCACCCAGGCAGGCGAGCTCGCTCGCTCTCGCGTGTATCGGGCATCCTTAATCCGGCACTGTGCGTCGGCCGCGCGCGCAAAAGTCTACCTCTGCCGTAGTCCCAGACTACGGCGTGCGATAAAGCGTATTTTTGTCGCGACAAATTTGGAGCGTCTGAGACGCGCGTCGTTTTTATTTCGCGAAATCGCGCGCATAGGTAAGAAGAGTGCGGAGCGCGGAGGGTGAGAGCGGAGGGACGACGGTGGTACTACCGTTCCAGAAGTGTCTCCGATGAAAAAGAGGGGAGACATCTCGAGAGAGAGGGAGAGGAAGAAAAAGAGCGAGAAAGGAAGAGGGAGAATTACGTCTCCCAAGAGCGCCTCTTTTTAAGTACTGTCTCTCCCCCTCTCGTCCCTCCTCTCTCTCTCTCTCCCTCTCTCTCTCTCTCTCTCTCTCTCTCTTTCTCTCTTTCACGAGCATTTGTCGCGCGTACGTACGGGCGCGTTTAGAGTGTATTAAAAGAGTGACAGGGGACATATGCTAAGGGTCGTTAACGCGATAAATATGCGTAAAGGCGGGTGCGGTGGCGGCGGCGACGTCGGCTGCGATATTTATCCGCGCCAAGGCGGCGGGGACGGGGAGAGGCGGTGGTAGAATTAGGCTTTGTCGTGGATTTTTCGCGAATGCGCGCGTAAACGCGAGCGTTGCGCGCGTTGTTCGCGAGTTTTTCGACGTTGCACCTCGCCGTGATTTAGGAGGATGGGAGGGGGAGGGAGGAAGAGAAAACCCAGGTTTAAACGTACCAGCCTCCGCGGAGTTACCGCCGAACAAACTGAAACTACAGGAGGGGGGGGGGAGAGGTAGTGTACAATTTACCGTACCATTCACTTAAACCCATTAATGCGCTCCCACTAAACTTTGCCTACAGCGAGTAATTGGCTTTCCATTGAGATTTATCGTAATCATGCGTGCGCGTTTTCCCCGGGAAACACCAGGCGATACTCTTTCGCGCGCCGTCGTAAAGCGAACTCGGTCGCGAAACCGGAACTCTCGGAACGTTCGGTTACCTGCGAGAATTAAGGAGGTATCGATCGGTCAACTTGAAGATGGACGATAATCGAGAACTTGCCTTCGCCTAAACTCTGATATAGTTCCTTTAATTTTAACTTAATTAGGTTGAATATCCCTCGCGTATAAATTTTCTAAAATTTTCTCAGATGTAGCATAGATTTCGATTAGAATTTCTAAATATGTTCCAAAATTGATTATCCCAATATAATATCAATTGGAACTTCCATTCTTCTCAAGCATAAGTTTTGAAATTTTGGTTCTCTGTTAAACTTTGAATTCTACAACGTAGTAAGAGTTAAATTAGCAAAATAAGTTTAATTAGTTTAATTCTAATGATGTGATTACTTCCACTTTGACATTGATGTTATCTGGAATTTTCCTTTTCATTTTCTTTAGCGTTAAAATCAGTGAATGGAACAGTGAGCCTGAAAATAGGATCTTAATTTCGACTTCGATTTTTTGTCTGAGATTAAAACAAGAATACTATGAAAACTTATATTTTTTCAGTCAATATATTTTTACGGTACCAACAGTGAATCCTATTTCAATTGTTTATTTAATAAAATAAAAAATCATAAAAATAAAATATTTTTATAATACTTTGAGTATTTTATTGAATAAAAAAATTATTTGAAAAATTAACATATGTTTTGTTCAATCCTA